TCTGGCATCTCAAGGTTTTGTATCTTTGCTTGTCACTAAGTAACTAACAAACTCCTTGGTGGCAGAACCCGTAGGTTCAACAGCGATAACACCAAAGCCCGCCAGCTTGTCACTGTTTTCAAAAATAGATAACAAGGAGTTGGACCTTGAGGCAGAATTGTGAAGAGGTCTGTCTCGTTTCCTGTTTATTTTAATACGAAAATAGGCGTCTTTTTCATGCGTCGGTTTCAAGGTCTCGCATTCCTCACGTCATTTCACTTGAACGTGGCTTTCATTTGTCTCGTAGTACAGTAACCTCACGGCAGTGACGTCATATCCGCAGAATATGACACTTTATTTCATGGTGTTCATGAAGTTTGTAATGATCTCAAGCCAACCTGCAAAGCGAGATTTAGTCAGTGCAAAGTTGTGGATGAACACAAGCATTAATCTCTAAAGCCCGTGGTTGGAGCCGTAAATTTGTTATATATTGGATTTTAATCTGAGCATTCTCTGGTTTTAACCCTTTCTGACCGACGGACTGCGAAGTTGCGAGTCCCTCTTACAGCTGCATTGAAACAATACTTAACCCTTTGAAGCCGAAGATCGTCTGAATATTATTTACGAATTCAGTCCGTACCGCGAAGAAAACACTACACCTCACCATTACGAAAATCAGCTGGTTAACCCTTTGAAGCCGAAGCTCGTCTTCATAATATTTACGAATCCAGACCGTACCGCGAAGAAAACACTTCACTTAACCATTAGAAGTCGAATCAGGCGGTACCACATAAGATTTAACAAAAGAACATCCCGGTCAAAGCCTTAATGAAGACTTAATAAAGTTTCGGCAAGATCAAGACCCTTCTTTGAGAATGGGGTTACAATTATTTCTCTGATTGTCTCGGTAGGAATTGCGTTATTCGAACAACTGAAGTCGGGTTTATGGTTAAATAAATTAATCATAAGGATTGTAGGATTCACGGGACCTTTGTAACTGACCTGACGACAGAAACAGCGCTATATCAGTCATATGAGTTAGTTTCTTGTTGTCAGCTATCCACAGTTTCCGAATTAATTTATTTTGGATTTGTCACCCCCTTCTGAACAATTCTACCTTTAACATCTTATGGGAACTGAACGAGTATTTTGCGGTGCTCTGAGTGTGAAGTTCAACCGCGATGTACAGACGCACGGACACGCCCCGGCTGGCTGTGCCCCGTCCGGAGTCTACCGGATGAAAGGAGAAACGCTGAGATTGACGGTAACAAGTAGCTACTGTGGGCAAGCGAACGTGTGTGGAGAGAAGGTGGATTAAAATTTGTATTTTAATCACGTAGACAAAGCGAAACATGAAAGCAAACGCAACTGTTAGTACGAGTAAAATCCACAGGACCGTGAGAATAAATATTTTTTCCCCATGCAAAACTTCAGACAAGGCTTACAGCGAATTGTTGAAAGTGGTTTTGAATTAAGTAGAGTTTTACGGAACAGGCTCTTGGAAACAAACCCCCAGATATATATGCATACAGGCCTACACATCATAAATGCAGCACCTTGGAACGCTGTGCGTCAGAAGATCATTAAGATAATAATACCTTTTTTCTGCAGACTTCAGACAACACAATGAATTAAGTAGAGTTTTACGGAACAGGCTCTTGGAAACAAACCCCCAGATATATATGCATACAGGCCTACACATCATAAATGCAGCACCTTGGAACGCTGTGCGTCAGAAGATCATTAAGATAATAATACTTTTTCTGCAGACTTCAGACAACATGGTTATGTTGGCAGCGCTGAAAACATTACGAACTTTTCCTCATTAGTTTCGTGGAGCAGAATGCCGTCACTTGTTGATAAGCTGATTGTAGTCATTCAGCTGGCCAATAAATGTTCTTCCTTTTATGGAAACCCAAGGTCCATTCCTTTGTTCACAGAAGCCAACCACGTGATCCCATTTTATGCCAGTTTAATCCAGTCCATATTCTTTCAACGTATTTGTTGAAAATGCTTTTTAATATTATCGTCAAATATATTCCTAAGAACCAATATCTCAGTAGTTTGCTTCAGTGCATTAATGATCTCTGAGACTTACTGGGCTCTGTGGTGAGAAGTGGTGAAGAAGGCGAGCGCCCACTCACAATTCCTCCTGGCCGAGCATTTCAACCGCGTGCGCTGCTGGACACTCACGCATCTAACCATATCAACGCTTCCATCCCATGTTTTTTTTCGTGAGAAGCGCGTTTCATAAATTATTGTTATGTTTACTGCGGGAATCTCTGCCCTTTTTTTCACGTTTTAATGCATACTTCAACGTGGACATTCTTTTTAATATCGCGTGGGGAAATTTTTTTTTTCCACCCGTGTACGAATTTAGTTATGCGTGTCGTGGCAGCTGTGGAGCTGTCTTTTGACTGTTCATATGATTTCGCTGCTTTTTGTACTAAAAATTAAAAAATGCTCCTGGCGTCAACCAGAGGGCAGGACGTTGTAATGGGGGTGCCAACCAATATGTCGTGGTGCGTGCTGCTGGGACGCAGAGGTGCATTAAGTGACATGCTTTGTTTAAACACATGAAGGCCCCTGGCTTTATCCACTCGTGCGCTCCTTGACACTTCTTCGTCGACCGAAATTGAATTTTCAGTTGCTGTGGAGACCAGCACGCAGGTTTGAAATATTAAATAAACGCGAACATACAGAGGAGTTACCTTAATTTTTAATTTATTTGTTATGGTAATGTTCATAAGTCAGGTTGGATAATTTGTATAAATCATTTATCTTGTTTCGATGAACATGATAGTATTCAATGCTCTGAGAGGAACGTATCAGAATGAATATCACGGATATCATAAGTGGCTCATCTCGATACGTGTTTTTTTTGCAGAATCTAATCACAGGGCCGATAACCTTAAAAGGGATTTGCTTTATAGAACGAGTAACCTGGAACGTGCGTCTGGTAAAATGTGTCAGGCGTGAGATTTAATCACGAGCGTCAAGAATATCAGTTCTGCCGATAGAACTGGCGAACTGGGCAGTTCGTGTACACTGCGATGGCGAATACCGCCCGTTTCTTTGTTAGTAACGCGCAGAACTATGGTCGGAGCAGTGCATTTTAATTAAACGGACAGTATGAATTAACCTCGTCTGGCCGGTTATAACAGTAAAAGTTGGGGAAAATTAATAAATTAAAACAAGCATACGGGTGTCCTCAACCGTGCGGTGAGCAAACTGTACAAATCACATACAACTGCACTGAACGTGCAGACCTCAGTGCACAAATGGCCTTACGCGCTCTTGTGAGACGCGTCCGGATGTGATTAAAAATTTTACAAAAAAAAAAAAAATCTTTACTTTCAAATGCCTTCGGACTACAGGATTCATTTCGAGTTTTTTGGGAAAAAATTGTCGGTGCTGGACTTCTGGGTACTGACGCCGTATGGACTTGTAGGTAAATCCTAAAGTTTCGGAGGAATACACTTCCTCCTTCTTCAGGACTGAAGATTTTAAACTTTCACATAATCCCTGAAGATGGAGACAGTGTTTTTCTCCCTGAAATTTGGTCTCTGCCCGCAAGTCCACATGCGTTTCGACTCAAAACACCAACATCGACACCACTGATTCACACCCTCTTGATCGTTGTATCTCTACTGTTTCTTTAGGTTGGTAATCGATATGAAGGCCCATATGGCCTGCATTCTCTCAGGCAACGCATTTGGAAAATATGATCAGGCCTGCTCCTTTAGGGGCAATCTTTGCATTCGTTTAGGGACTGTAGGATCCCGAAAAACATTTTATTTCATCTATCAGTCTTGAAGTATCATGACTTTTACACTGAGAAATTATTACATCATGAAAAATATTTATTATTTTTACGTATATTAGAAATAATTGAAATTATGAACCAAAAATTGAATTCTACTCTCGAGTAGAATAACTAACCCCATGGAGCAGAATATTTTTTTGCAAAGTTGTTACTCACTCAGGTACTCGAGAATTTGTGCGTCTTTTATGGAACCTGAAGGTTCAGTCCGTTCCTCACAAGAGCCCGCCACTGCATCCTATCCTTCTCTTGAATAATGCGGTCCACACCCCTGCGTCTTACTTCTTTAAACTCCGTTTTGTTAATATCTAATTTTGGTGCTGAGTGGTTAGCACTCCTGCTTCGTATTCGAGAGGTTTTGAGTCAATATATCGACCCAGAAACACGCTATCCCGAGATCATCCGTGACTTTCTTCAGGTCCTACCTCAGCACTTTAATGAGTTATTAAGAATAAATTAAATTAAATATTATAGGGCATTTTCCCTTCAGTGTATTAATGTCAAAACGTGTGAATCGTTACGTGCTTCTTGGTTTGATCACTTTGAAAAAGAAAAGAATTACGGAATTGTGTAATGACGAGTAATCTGTTCCTCGGTGTAAGCTCGATGCTACTTGTGGTGTTGTTGCTCGTAGCGGCCAGTATGTGTACATTTTTATGTTACCCTTCCATTGCAGACACAAGTAGACAATTGTAATTACTAATGGAAACACGGTGCCTGGCTGTGTTTACCCTCTCTTGCGTGGGTTTCTGTAAATTAAATGTTACGCGCCCAGAACACTGGAACCCAGGTGGCTCCAGCATAGCCAGCTCCGTGAAGCACATTCCTCCTTGAGAAGCTGGTAGTCGTTCAGCTACTCAAGACATTCATTGCCGTGTTCACAACATCCCACCATCGGTCTGACACGAGCCAGATTAATCCAATTTTTATCCTGACATCCCGTTTGGTTCCTTTCGAAAGCATTTAATATTATTACACCGTAAACCCGCAGGTCTTCCGAGAGAGATTTCTTCCCTTCAGGCGTAGCGACTGGCATTTTGTTTGCATATTCATCTTTCACGTCCGTGATTCGTTTTCCGTCCACCAAACGCTCGCTCGTACGTTTCTGAATTACGTCATGTTTTGTGATTCGCTGTGCCTTATTGTGTATTTAGGCGCTGGAGTAATAATTAATAGTTTAGCATGCGTTTTATTCCAGGTCTGTTCAAAGGGTCTACAACTCCGGGTCCTGAGGGCGGGTCTCGGTCGTGCCCTGCTGAGCGTCCCAAAACCTTGCGAAGGCTGAAGCATGTTTATGACGTAGCGGGGCCGAACGGAGCTATCTGCAAGGCGGAGGACGGCGGGAGGTCTGCCTCGTGTTCCCGGGGCAGTTCAGGGGTGACAGGCCCTGGTATCGACAAGGCGCAGTCCCTGTCCATCCTCAGTCCCTTCGATGAACAAGAAGAGTGGGCAAAAATATCTGAGATCATGGCGTCCTTCGGCACTGGACTCGTCCGGGAGTCGGTGTTCGTCAGCGAGCTGGAGAAAGAGTTCCAGTCGAGGCTCGGTGAGTGCAGGCCTCACTGTGTTTCCTTGAGGCTCCAGTTTGCTTTGTAACAGTTGTCGCCAACTGAGCCGTGTGTCTTGGCCTCTGGAACAGCTGAGTACGAGCACGTAAGTGTGTCGAGTCAGATATTGACGTCTGCGCGTACTGCCTTGTTTTGCAGGCATGACTCGATCGGCGAGCAGCAGCCCCTTGGCCGCCTCCGGTTCTACCGGAGGAACTTCTTCGGTAGGCCAGTGGCTCGGCGGTCTCGGTCTGGCGGATTACGAGTCCCTGCTTCGTAACAACGGTTACGACGACCTGGACTTCATAGTGAGTAAACACTTGGTCCGGCGGTACAACGCCAAAAGGCTGAGTTCTGTTTGAGAAACTGGCAGTTGTTTATCCAGTCGAGAAATCCCGCTCCGTCTATTTTTCCCAGGGTTTATTAACCTCGGTCACAACACAGAATCCCATGTCTTGAGCCAGATCTTGTACACCTCATACCCCTCTCTCGTCATTCACGTGTCTTCCTGTCCGAGCTTAAATGTTCCACGTAGTCTGTTTCTCTGAGATTTTCCGACAGCATTTTGTTACGCAATTCTGGTTTCTCCCATGCATGCTACACGTCCCTCTCATCTCGTGCACAGTAATGGCTACTGAAAATTGGAAATTTCTGACATGTTTCTACACGCAGCCTTCCCGATCCTTGCGTTACTTTCTCTTTCCTGTTCTCAGGCACCCTTCGTCTGTGGTTTTATTCTCTTTGGGCGAGAAACCAAGTTCCACACCCGTACAAAATAAAACTGTAGAGTTATAGGTGGGATTTCAGGTTCTTGTGGCGGTGACTATGGACGTGGTTGTCTTGTGGGGTATTGCGCCATATGGTCTCGTAGAAATTGACTGAGGTTTCAGAGACGCTTACTGCTTCCATCATCAAGGCGATTATCGCCAGAAGTCAGTCATCGTCATGATAGTGTATGGGCTCGGTTTTACATTATCGTTTTCCTGCATTTAGCCTAAATTGGATTTATTTCCAGTGTGGGGTTCTTGAAGACCAGGATCTTAAGGAGCTGGGCATCGACAACGAACAGGACCGTAAAGTCATTCTGGAGTCTGCAGGCAGTTTGCCGTGCAAAGTGCACGAACAACAGAGCATCGGCTTGAACAACAACAACGCTAAGAGCCCGACGTCGGCAGTGGGGTGCGGGGGGAGAGGAGATCCTGAGGGCCAGGACGACGAAAGCGGCGATGAATCTGCAGTGGACCGGTGGCTTCGCAGCATCCGGCTGGACATCTACAGAGACACGTTCCGCAAACACTTGTACACGGACATGGATAGAGTTCGACGGATATGGGAGGTCGAGCTGACCGCAGTACTCGAGATTCATCGCGTCGGACACAGGAAGAGGATCCTGGCGTCAGTCAGCAGTCAGCATCCGCACGGCAGCCATGGCCCCAACCTCGATGACATCAACGCTGACCTCAATCTTTTGGTGAGTTTGTGACCGGTCGAGGAGACGAGTCAGGGACCAGAAGCAGTTCACAAGAGGCCGCCACTGAACTCTGTCCAGAGCCAGCTTAATCCAGTCCACGCCCTCTCTCTGTCTCTTTAAAACACGTCTTTGCCGGAAAACCAGAACGGCATATGCCACACCCTTTCTGCGTGGTCACTTTAGGCATTAAACGACATCAAAGGAGCGAAAGTAGATCACTCTTGCGCTGTTCTTGGTTATTTTCGCCTCTTCAACCAGTTCGCATACGGAGAATTTTTTTTTTGTATATATTAACTACGTTCATTAGAATGTTTAATTATGGATTTTCACCGTACATTTGCTGTACCCAGGTGTAGAAGACAGGACTCTCCGATGCACTCAGTGTTTAACAAAGTCATGGAGTCATGACTTTAATTAACACGCTCCTAAATATATGATGTAGCTTCCCCCCCCCTCGAGGGCTGAATCAGTATGAAATGTTATGACGAGTGAAGTTGATATTCTCTGCTCATGAATTTCGTACGAGACGTCGCGTTTTAATGTTGTGTTGTCGTCCCAGAAATAATTTCTTTTTCAGGTGGGAGAGTAAGTTCGTTGGTTCAGCGATAAAAATTTTTTTCGCATTTGCTTCATTCAGTTTGTGACCACGATATTATAAACGTGCATTTCAGAATTTTAAAATTATTTCGATTGCATTCTTAAATAATGTGACCCTCACCTCTGCAAAGATTGCGCGTGATTTTTTTTTATTTTACTGTATATTGTTGCTAATTAATATGGACCATGTCCTGCTGGAGTTCGGTTGAACCTGTGACCAAAACCAGCGCCTGTTGGAACACTTCCCTCACACCACGTCACAGCAGCGTAATTTCATCCATACGCACAGTGTATCTGTCTCTCTCGCAATCAATTACAACCGTTGCGAATGGAATAATTATCCCTCGGATGTGTTAGCATATGTATCAGGGCAGCCCTTCAGCAGTGTGTATGCCTCCTGCCCTTACCGCCCGGCAAAACACAGGTTAATTAGCTACTACTGCTAGTAGCATGTCTGCACAACGTGTGATCAAAACGTATCGGGACAGGAGTCCATGCTGTTACCCGCATAGCAGTCGGGCGTTCTCGTGTTGCCCGATACGTAAAATGTTGTGTTTCTTCCATTGTTACAAGCATCTATTTTGAACTCCGCAAGATTGACTGTCTTCTGGGTTGTTGTGTTGTGTAGTCTGGTAGAAGTTTGCCGACGTTTCAGAGGTGCATTATCAGGCCCTGACAAACGAGGTAACAAGCACATCTTCCCCCCTTGAGAACTTCAAATCTCACTCCGCAAATGTTGTGTGCAGTTTTACCTGTGATCGCTATGACGTCATCAAATTAAGTTTCTTTAAGGCTTTGACCGGGATGTTCTTTTGTTAAATCTTATGTGGTACCGCCTGATTCGACTTCTAATGGTTAAGTGAAGTGTTTTCTTCGCGGTACGGTCTGGATTCGTGAATATTATGAAGACGAGCTTCGGCTTCAAAGGGTTAACCAGCTGATTTTCGTAATGGTGAGGTGTAGTGTTTTCTTCGCGGTACGGACTGAATTCATAAATAATATTCAGACGATCTTCGGCTTCAAAGGGCTAAAATTTGCCCGGAGCTAGATCTGTATGGGGGTTGGGTGGGGTTCTAGCCACCCGGTTTCTTTCCAGAAATTTCTGCACAGACAGACACAAAGCAGATTGAGTGTGATATTTGTTGTGACGGAGTTAACAATCTTCTGTGTGACGTTTCACAGAAGATATCTCAGGACGTATTCTCATAGACGCAAAATCTGTATATAAATACTTGTTGATCGACAGTCTGTAATCGTGATTTCCATTCCAAAAGGAAATTTACGATGACGTAGGCTTGTATTTCAGTACCTGTTTCGTTTGTCTTAATACAGGATTTTCTCCCTGTCCTTACTTCATAAAGCGTCGCTACTAGATGGCACGGTACTATTTTTAAATTAACAGTAAATGATTCGTCACACAGTATTCTACCGCTATCTGTGTACGTAATACTGAAGTGTTCTGCTCTTAACTCCCGGTTCGGAACATTTTGATCGCACATTGAATCTCGGAGCCCACTTTGCAAATGGCAATTGACGATCAGCAAAAATATTGTCTCTGTTCCCAGTGTGCTTGTTCACCGGAGGATTTGGCGCCAGGGATTTCTTCATTTACGTGTCCCTTATAGTGCACAGAACAAAAGTTGTCCCTCTGATGCGAAAGGGATTGCTTTTTAGGGGCAGTGAGATCAACAAAAATGTATGAAACAACAAACCCCGTCCCTTCAGCCTCGTCCCTCATCAATGACAGTGTTTCGTGATTGGATGATCACTTTTGAGTACGTATTACGAACACTTCAATGTCATCTGTACTTTGCTGAATGAGTAACTTAATTAGACAGTGGATTAGCCCAATCAGAGGTAGAGATTACTCGATTGAAGGAGTCTGCAAAATGGAGCTGGTAAGAGCTTTGTTTCCAGTCCCCAGTAAGAAGTACCTTCTTCCGTTTGATGATGGTTTGTGAAAGAGAGGAAAATTCCCTTCTTTTTAAGTTCGTGTAATTCGTAGGAGATCTCCATTGTTTTTCGTACAGCCGTGGACTATTATAACTGGCCAGAAAGTTTTGATATTAGCAGCATTCACCGTCTACGCGATGGACCAATGTTCAGCTTCACGCCCCGTCCTCTTTATCCCACGGGAATAGCCCCGAATTCCCATTTACAAGGAAGCTGAGCTATCCCCACAGAAGATCTTGACGCAGTAACTAAGGGAGAATTGTTTTGCCCCTGCCAGGAATCGAACCACGAGTTATGAACGTCTTTTTTTTAAATAAATTGGAGTTTCACGACGTTTGTATCGACGTTTCTCAAAGTCTCTAGTTTAATCACAGCTTTGAATGTTTTTAACGTACGATTACATCTTTTCAGACGACGTCGTTAAGCAAGCATGTCCTGTGTGTCGTGTTGCAGAAGCACAGGAGATAGTGGGCTGGAGTGTTGCTGGTGGCATACCATTCAGGTGTGTGCTACTGTGCACTGATGGCTTGTCGAGCCGTGAAATAGGCAATACTGCACAACCCGTTGGCAATGCCATGTGATGATAACAATTAACGCGCACCATGTGATGGCCTCAGTCCGACAGACCTCGGTTCAAGCCCTGTCAGTGGGACTTCCATCCGCTTGGATTGCGGTTTGAATACCGCCGTGTTTATCGGATAGATGGGTTCATATTCAATGCAGAGGCTACTGAGCGTCGCTTTGAGGAACGTGCTGCCTCCGTATTTGGGGTAGAGTAGTGAAACTCACCGGCGTTTCTACAAGTACTTCTTGTTTCTTTCAAATTTCAACGATAAATAAATGTCAGTAACGTTTTGAGAGGAATTTGCTACATTCCTCTTGGCATGGAGGGAAAAATGTGTAAAAATTTTCAGTAACAAAACTTCAAAAGACTGGGTATTTTGAATTGTAGGCGAAGATGGGATATATGAGATATAATGTAAATATGTGGTCTGGATTCAGCTGGCTCATTATAGGGTCCAGTGGTGACCTCTTGTGAACACGGTAATGAACCTTAGGGTTCCACAAAGGGCGAGGTATTTATTGACCAGCTGAGCGACTATTGGTGTATGAGATTTTTCTGTTTCACTGGTTCGTATTCCGTAGAAATCGAACATTCAACTCCTGAAGGAAGAAATACGGGAGAAGCTTCCCGTCGTGCCAGTTACGGGAACCCTGAGGCATAACCACAAGAAATGTCGACCGGCCCCTCCGCCCCCGACGTCAGCGAACGGCTCAGGAGTCGGTAGTGACCTGGAGATCAGGGCGCCGTCCGAGCTGCTGGTGGGGGTGCCAGCTACCCTGACCACACAGTGGCGACACAGCCCGCAGGATCTGGTGTCCGGATCCGTGAACTATGTGGCGAATGTAAGTACCGCTGAGAGAACTTGGCCTCGCTTCGGCGCCGGACACGAGCAGTAATACTGACGACAAGGTAGCAGAATCCCTCTTGAGAAGCTGATAGTCACTCACACAACCAAATTCCCCGCCTTTCATGGAGCCTATCCCGAACCCGATAAATTAATCTGCACCATCATGACATGTGCATCGCCTCTGAAACGTCTGTGAACGTCTATCAGACTACGCGGTTTAACATCCGAGATGACAGCCAAAATTTTATATTTTTGCCTTCTGGGTTCTCAGGGCATGTATTTTTGTCCGTGGTTACAAATGTTTCGGCGGTACATTCAACCTCCGTCTTCAGGGTTGAAACATTAGAAAATTATTTTTCGTTTCTTGAACTTATATTCATTTTTCCCTGCATCATTACAGAGTAACACAGGGACGTTCTTCTGGGTTGTTACACGTGTGGACTTGTATACTAAACTGAAGGTACTGTCTCCTACCTGAACCCTGAACCCTGAACTTTGCCTGTGATGTTGCTGTTTGCTAAGTTACGTTAGGATTCGTGTCATTTTGTTTTGATCATCGCAGTACCTGGGCTCCACCGTCGTGAAGGAACTGAGAGGAACTGAGTCCACCAAGAAGTCGATCCAGAAGTTGAAGAAGTCTTCAACTTGCACCAAAGACGCTAAAGCGACACCAGACATCATACTGGCCATCTCATACCGCGGCGTCAAATTCCTGAACACGATTACCAAGGTACTTACACTTCAGTTACGCCAACCACAGTCCTTGAGTTGCGTCTTGTGGTAACTTTACGTTTTACAAAAATGTCTTCGCCCGGTTTTCGTGAATTCAATTGTTGGAAGGCCGCCAACTCGTCTAGAGCACTTTTTACCTGACATCGACAATAATGTCTGTCTGCGTTCCAACTTCGGACCAGTTCTGAGCTGGTTCTTTAACAATGACGACCGTCGATGTATCAGATAATGTTTGGAGTTTAGAAGCGTCTGATTCCATTGTTGAAGATATAATAACTTTTGTATTACTAATAAACATGACTGTAAGCATAAAATATTTTAATATCTCAGTAATATAATTTATTTTGTGTTGGTTAATTATAGTTTATAGTAGTAGATTATTATTTACTAGTATATAAAATGTTATAATTTAAATATTTAAACATTCAAGCATGTTTCACGTGCTGGTACATGTTACTGTTTCGTATTCATTTTAACATTTTTATGTTTTTAAAGTTACTCATTGTTGTTCTTTCGTCTTGTTTTCGTTCTACCGATCTGAGTAGTAAACGGTACTGAAGTTAACTTCAATATTTTACGCCGAGTACAGAACTGTTATTCATTTGTTTGTACATTTATCGTCTTTTTCACATCGCGGAACTCTTCTGACTAAGCGATTTAACACGGTCCGTGCCCAGTTACGTAGTATTTTATTTGTAATTTTGGAAATGCCATTAACATTTCTCTGTTTTCAGAGTGCATTTATTACAAATTGACTTGAAATCAAATGTCAGACATGACAGTAAAATTTTTTGTTTCCACAAAGTCTTCGTATGCTGTGTGTTGTAATTGTAATATCTGAGGTCTGATCTTTCGGGACCTCGACGTGACGTCGATATTTCTCAGGAACTGGTGTGTGGACATGAGATCCGTAACATCCACTGCGCCTGCCAGGACGCCGATGACCTCACACATTTCGCGTACATTACCAAGGACCACGCCAGCAAGGGTCACTACTGTCACGTGTTCTGCGTGCAGACCATGGTACGTGGCCTCTTGTTACCATCCATTTTGCGCGCTGCTGTGACCGAACGACAAAATGGCGCGGAAGTAATGAACCTTTGCATCCAGATTTCCTGCTATTTCCTGTTGTAGCGGAGTCCATCCTGAGAAACTGATTGTCCCTCAGCTGGTCATGAAATTCACCGCCTGTTATGGAAACAAATGGTTCTTTGCCGTGTTCAAAAGGTGACTCCACTGGACGCTATCCTAAGCCAGATTAATCCAATCCACAACCTCCAACTCTGTTCGAGATCCTCTTTAATATTATCCGACCATCTACCTCAAGGTCTACCAAGTTTGTTCTGGTATCTGGTAGCGCTGCAAACATAGAAATGTGAAGATTCTTATCAAATAAGAGTTTATATTAATGAAAACTTCGAAGCTTTAAATTGCTGCTCCTTGCAGGACCAGGCCACAGAAGTTATTCTGACGTTGGGGCAAGCTTTCGAAGTGGCGTACCAGATGGCATTACGAGACCAGGTCACCGGCAGTCGTGGCCCCTGCCACACGCGATCACAGTCGGCGTCCCACATCCTGACAACGACAAACATGCCTCAGCCTGGAACCAACTCTCCAGGTGCACGGAGTAACCATTCCAGGCCACATTCCATTAATGGCCAAGGTCAGGCCAAGGACGCGTCTCCGAACAGCAAGGAAGTAGAGGACTTGCCGTCTGGGGAGGAGTCTGCCGAAACGTCGAAAGGAAATCAAGTGTCTCAGGCTCCTATAGTTCTTACTGAAGAGCTCTAACTGCAAGTTTCAAGACCATTTTGGGTGATTAAGATATTAGCGTTTTTAATGTCTCACGAGTGAACCACCTTTCGTATTTATTAAAACCTCTTTGTGTCTGAATTTCGTTCCAAGATAAGTCTCGATAGTGACAGGCGAATTTTTTTCAAAGAAATGTTTCAAAACTCCCACACTTTAATTAATCACTTGTAAAGATTTCTTTTGTTACAGTAAGGATATTTGGGGGCTGTGCCGTCAGCCTTCACGCAATGCCCGATCACTGCCTCAGTTGCCGCGTGCCCTAGTCCGAGCGGCAGTCACCAAACGTGCTCACTGTGACGTTCATTCAGTTGCACCGACTTCGATTCTCGTAGTCAAAAATTGTCCATTTGTTTGGTGTTTTGTTTCGATTTACCCTTAAGTCCCCTTCGTGATTTTTGCATTGTGTTCTCCTGGGTGTGAAGAATTCTGAATGTAGAGAAATCATAGGTAAAAGTGACCGTGTTTTTAACGGGGTCGCGTTGTTTATACATTTACATTGTTCATTTATAAACAAAATGTGTTTTTTTCGTAGTGGGGATACAAGAAAGGTGTTAAAATTTTTTTAAAATACAGTATTTGGGGAACAAATGAGTGAAGTCTACGTATAATTTGTTACGAATTCCACAAATGTAACTTCGCTCGCGCACGTCGTGTTCTGATGATATCTAAAATCTATCACGAGGAGAGAATGGTTTTTAAAAATTTTTGAAGTAGCGATTAATTAACGCGTTTTTCTGTCCATCGGGACGCAGATTTGTAGCCATTTTATGTGATTAGAAAGGAAACGCAAAGGTGTCTTCGAACTTTTAACATTTAGAGGTCTGTGAATACGACATTTTGCTGTGATTGTATTTATGCATGTGTATATAAGCGATATATATATGTATTTGTGCCATTTTAGTTAATTTCTATCCATTTTCAAGTGTTGTTAACAAGTTTACACGTGCAGTAACGGATATTATGTTAAAAAATTATTTTTTAAAAACAAATTTTACGTGAAGATAATTATTTACGATCAAAGTTTCCAATCAGCTGTTTTTGCTGCCCGTATGAAAATCTTTTGGACTATTTTCGTGATGAGTCAGTCTTGACGTTTTATCTGGCATTGAAGAGCGGGCTGTACGTTTAAATATTCCTTGAAGTTCTGTCATACGTAAAGAATCTTTATCTGATTTGAAAGGAATTGAGAAGGTACAGTTTCTTCATTAAGTGTCATTACTTCCGTTGCGAGTTAAATGCACTTATATTCGACTCGCGTTTTCAAGTATTAGACGCAGAATGTTTCAACAGATTTTAATTAAATTCAGTTTTAAAATTAGACTTTACTAAATAATTATATATAAAAAAGTATCCCCTTCACATAATTCTTTTAACAGAAGCAATAATTTACGAAAATGCGCCTTACTAGCCTTGCCATGTCTGTCTGTCCGCACGTAACAGCTACAGAGCCACTGAACTGTTTTCCACGAAATTTAATATTTGAATGTTTTACTAAAGACACTTACCACTTCTTTTTTTAAATCGGACAATTACAGATTTATGAAAGACATTTTATTTTTTTAAGTTGGTTGCAATTTTTCCATATGTCTCACGGTTTTCCAGACTGCCCCGTCCATGTCCATTCTTGGTTCTCGCATTCAAAATCTAGAGAAAGAAATCGAGTGTTCGCTTGGTAATTATTACGCTCCGCGTGCTTTTACTAATTTCTTAAGTGGATTACAGTCTCCGTACGCGACGGCTTAAATTTGTGGTATATTTAGTATTAACCTTATCGTCCTTATGCTCTGTCCAGTTGGCCTTCGAGCTAAACCTTTAACGACGGGGTTAAAATCCGGTTGACAGTTCCGTAGTACCAGGGTTCAAATCCAGTTGTCGATAAAGATTTAAAAAAAAGGATGATATTAAATATGTCTGAATGTACAGTATCGTAGGATCGCAAGTCTAGATCCGTGTAAAACCTTGGTACTTTCTTCTTGAATTATTCTTATTTAAATGTGAATATTGTTCGTCCGTGACTGCGGGACAGCGATTTTCAATTTGTCGGGGGTCCTTTCATTTTGGGGAGGTATTTATTTAAAGGTGCGCGCTAGAAGGGTACGCGAAGCAGTAAGGGGGATGTGACACGCGCAGTGCGTGATTTCGAAGTGAGGTCTTTTTGGAATCGACGTGCGTCGTATTTACGTGCGAAGCTAGATTTGTTTTCGCGTTACGTGCTGCCATGCAATGTAAATATAATAGTTGTAAACTAATATTTCTAATGGAGAAAAAATACATTTTAATCTGTAATTATTTTCTTTTTTTTTTATACTTTTTAATTATGTAAAGTGTTTTGTCGAATATATAAATATAAGCGAGAACTGCGATATGGAGATAGATCCTTTATCTGTCATGTTATGGGATCGAAGTTTAATCAGATTCTTGTCCTCGAAATTCTAATGACACGTAAAATGAATCAGGCCCTAGAGATAAATTTCATAAATCGTTAAGTGGATCGCACTTTTACGTACTGACTTACTCGAAATTTAAGTGAACTTTGAAACGTACTTATTTCTGGAACCGAATCGATTTTACATACGGCTTTTACAACGAATTGAGCATAAATCTGATTATTTTATTAAATGTTAATACCAAACACGCGACTTAAAACTTCGCATATTAAAGAGATCCAATTTGTTTCCGAATTTAGCCTGTAGGAGGCCACAGCATCTAATCTAAATAA